TTTTCAGACAAGGTCTCACTGTGTAGTTCAGGTTGGTCTTGAACTCACTGTGTAATCCAGGCTGGCTGGGAACTCTGATCCTCCTGCCTCCTACCTCCTGAGTGCTTGTATTACAAGTATGTGCCATGATACCCAGTTCATAGCCAGCTATTTTAATGATACTAGTTGATGGATGCATGGGTTGTTTCCATATTTTTGTCATTTTGAGTAAGGCTGCTATGGACATTTGGGTATGTGTATAATGAAGTTAGTAATGGGCAAATAGGACCTGTCTTCAGGAGAGATGAATGAGGAAAAAATGTAAAAACACTGCATGAAATCAGGCAGGTTCCACTCACGACTCAGGATAAGGACAGATACAGTTGTTGGCTTGGTTTAGGGTCTGTAGCTGTACAAGTAGCTAATGGGATCTCTTTCTTCTATGTATCTTCCAAGGCCTTTTCTTAGCCTCTGGAGAGATAGGATGGCTGTGCAAGAAATTCACTTTTTTTCTGTTTGGTACACCTTCCTTGACTTCTGAGTGAAAAAAAAAATCACAATAGGCTGATAACTTAGGTTGGATTCCCTGGCAAAGACTCTGAGACAGACAACTGTGTTCAGGAAGGTCATGTGTGCTTGTTCCTAGGAGCTGAACCTATACAGAAGGTAGGAAAGTAAAACTGGATAGAAAGCAAAGCTAACCCTGATCCACAATGTGGTTGAAATTTCAGCCTCAGCTGATCCCTACAGGGAGGCATACCAGGATTTTGTATTCCTTTGTCATACCATCACTGAACATAAACTACAACACACATCTGCTGGAGGACCTTCTACATTGGCCCTAAAATAGAGAGCTGGGGCGCGCATCTTAGCACAGCCTTTTATCCACATGAACACCGAAAAGGCAAATATTTGTGGAGAAGGTCTTTCCTAAAGATGTTTTATTCCATAGGTGGTCACCCACCCTTTCAAAACCATTGAGCTACAAATGAAGAAGAAAGGATTCAAGATGGAAGTGGGACAGTACATTTTTGTCAAGTGTCCCGAGGTATCCAAGCTGGAGTGGCACCCTTTCACACTGACCTCCGCCCCTGAGGAAGATTTCTTTAGCATCCATATCCGCATTGTTGGAGACTGGACAGAGGGGCTGTTCAATGCTTGTGGCTGTGATAAGCAGGAGTTTCAAGATGCCTGGAAACTACCCAAGTGAGTACAAAGCACATATTACAAAGGTGTATGGGAAAAGGTACTAATTAGCTCCTCTTCCCCCATTTCTCATTATACTATGTCCTGAATCGCAAAACACAGAGGTTGCCAACCATTGTGGTGCATGCCTGTAATGCTAGCACTCAGGAGGCTGAGGCAGAAGGATTGCCGGGAGGTTGAGGCCAGCCTGAACTACATAGTGAGACCCTATCTCCCCCCCCAAAAAAAGCGGGGGGGGGGACAAAAGAAGTAAAAAGCAAAACACAGGTTATAAGAATATAAGTAGCTTTCTCTGAGTTCCTCCTATTGTACATGGGAGGAGTTTATTCATATTTTTATGACTTATGTGAAATTTAACACTTAGATTATTACTTATATTAGCAATGCATACTTTCAAATTCTTTTAAATATGTAGGAGTCAAGGCCAAGTTCTACTTACTTTTCTAACCAAAATACTCTTAAATTTTAATTGGCATCATTTGATTGAGAGTGAGTGTCACATATTATTTGCTTTACACCATCCTCCCTACATACTTGGTACCGAGTATTAGTAGATGCTGAAGAAAAGTATGTTGAATAGCTCAATGAATAGGTAAATGAAAAACAGGATATTGAATCTACAAGATGCTATGATGTAGAAAATTTGCACTCCAATATACCAAGTTAGTAACAATTTAAAGTGTACCGTGTGTGTGTGTGTGTGTGTGTGTGTGTGTGTGTGTGTGTGTGTGTTGTGTTAAGATTAAGGATGGGAGCCGGGCATGGTGGCGCACACCTGTAATCCCAGCACTCGGGAGGCTGAGGCAGGAGGATCGCTGTGAGTTCGAGACCAGCCTGGGCTACATAGTGAGTTCCAGGTCAGTCTCACCTACATAGTGAAACCCTGTCTCAAAAAAAGAGATTAAGGATGGGAGATAAAAAGTACCTGTGGTGTGTTACCAAATGTTTTCAAGTAGTAAAACATTCCTCTTGTCTTACTTCCAACTCCAATGTTGGCCTTAAATTCATTATTTGAAATGCATTTCTTAGAAGGAAGTGCCTCACAGATACAATACCCTAGTTGGAATCGACACATTACATAACTTCAGTAATAATGGTTGTTTCATGTTACTATGAAAAGCAAGATATCAGAGTAACTGTCTCCTTCCCACTTCCATTCAGGATAGCTGTTGATGGGCCCTTTGGCACAGCCAGTGAAGATGTGTTCAGCTATGAGGTGGTGATGTTGGTGGGAGCAGGGATTGGGGTCACACCGTTTGCGTCCATTCTCAAGTCGGTCTGGTATAAATACTGCAATAATGCCACCAATTTGAAGCTCAAAAAGGTAAGTCCCTTCAGATTTTGTAGGGCTTGGAATGGTCATCACCCTCTACCAAGTGAAGTCTGAAAGTACTCTCAGGTATGAGGCTAGCAGAGACCACAGGAAGTAAAGAGAAGCTGTAGGTGGTTCGGAGAGGAAAGGTTCTCTTCAGAGGACTATTCGATAACTGAAATGTGCTTCTAAATAAACAGGCCTACCAGTAAAAGTAATATAGAGTTGCGGGAAATTCAGAAGAAAGTTTAAGAGAAATTATTCCCAACCCTGAAGCTATCCCTCTTTATCTTATCTTTTTTCTTCTTCTTTTTTTTTTTTTTTTTTTTTTTTTTTTTTTTTTTTTTTTTTTTTTTTTTTTGGTACTGGTAATCAAACTCGGGTCCTTGTGCTTGCAAGGCAGGCGCCGGAACCACTGAGCTAAATCCTCAGCTCTTATCTTTTTTCTTATCTTAGGGTGCTAGGAAAGGAACCCAGGGTCTTGTATATGTTAGGTAAGTGCCCTATCACTAAGTTCCACCCCCAGCCCCTCAGATATTTTTTCCTAATATTTTTTCCACAGGCTTCCATATAAGTAGAAAGTTTTAAATATTGACTATGTACAATTGCATAACCTTTCTTTCAACATAAAGAATGTTTTTCGGTGTCATCATGGGCTTCATAATGATGATTTTTTTCATAACGATGATCTTTCAAATTTAAGTTTATTGGTACATTTTAAGTATACATTATGATCACATTCCTTGTTGGGAATATGTACCTTTATATGATATATCTTGGTTCTTATTTTTTCCCGTTCCCCTTCCCTCCCTTCAACGTGTCCTGCCTTCCCTATTTACATAAGCTTTGTTTCCATTTTTTCTTTCTCCTCCACCCCAGTTTCCCTTCCCCTTTGAATATTTTCTCAACTATTTCGCAATACCTATTATACATTTCAGTCCTCATTTACACTTTCAGTTTCTCACACCAGGGAAACAATTTGGTATTTACATGTGTGTCCTATTTATTTCATTTAAGAGTGTCGCCTCAACGTGCATCCATTTAGCCATAGTAATGATTTTTAATGATTTCTTAATGTTCCACTGAGAAGATATAGAATAATTTTCTATATTTTGTTTTGTACGTGGATTCGATTTTTAGTTCGTCAACACTTGTTTTTCAAGAAGAAGGAAAGAGACGTGAAACTTTCACTTTCATCTATATACCTCCTCTGGATAAATTTCCAAGGGAGTGTTACATATAAATTAACTTATAGAGAACCCCTTCCATAAACCTTGAGTCATTCTAGTAACTGTAGAGACAAATTTTAATAGGGACATTGAGTCTACCTTGGATTTTCATTCCCCTGATTTCTTTTCTATGTGCAAGAGGTGTGAGTAGAATGATTTTTTTCCCTAAGAACTTATGAGTGTCTGGCAGCAGCAGGCTTGCGGGTGGGGAGAAGTCCTGCAACAGTTACTGCTGGCTGGGTCACTGACTAGATTTCTTTGGCCCTCTGAGAGGAGGTAGAAAGGAATACAGAGATTCTGGAAGAGGAGTAGCCCCAGAATAAAAATTGGTGGGTCAGACAGTTTTTGTTGGCTCTATATTTATTAATGACTTGCCATTATGAAGGCCAGAGTGGGTTTATGTGAGTTAGATTGTAAAATGTCTCGAGCTTTAAAACAAAACAAAACAAAACGAAGTGCTTTTAGGCATTAGATGCCTGAGGGGAAAAAAGTCTGGAGGAAGTAGAAAACCATGTGTTAATGCTAATAGAGCCTGTCCCAGTATAATCTGCTTTGTGATCAATCCCCCTTGCAGATCTACTTCTACTGGCTGTGCCGGGACACACATGCATTTGAATGGTTTGCAGACCTGCTACAGCTGTTGGAGACCCAGATGCAGGAGAGGAACAATGCTGATTTCCTCAGCTACAACATCTACCTTACTGGCTGGGATGAGTCTCAGGTGAGGACAAGGCTCCAAGTCTCAGGTCCTTCCTATAGTGTGCAGTCCTTGCAGACATCCCCATGGTTCTTGGTGGGTCCTATGCCCTATAAGGACAGTTAATGGATTCAAGTGATCTTGCTCATTCATACTTATTCAGTATCACAATATGATATTGGCACTGTTAGACTAGATACAAAGCTAAGGGCCCTATAAGGGAATAAAGGCCATTGTTATTAGGGCAATGCTCCCATCAGAAAGACTATGCCACATGGGCAAGATTCTTCACAGGGTAATGGGAAAAATTGTGTTTCCTTAATTATATTTTTGCACATGTTTCATAATACATCCAATACATTTATAGTTATTAAGCATATGCTGTAGAGCCTTCATATCTGTGGATTCTGCATCTATGGATTCAAGCAATCGTAAGTCAAAAATATTTGGAAAAAATATGTCTATACTGAACATGTACAGAATTTTTCGGTTGTCCTTGTCCCATAAGCAGTGCAATATAACAATATAACAGATGTGGATCCAAGATCACATGACATGAGAACTGCTACTCCAAGAAAAGTCATTTAAAAATGCTACTTCCGCAAATTAAAAACAAAACAATAAAAGCCCTTTGGTGAAAATAAAACCTATAGTGGCACATAACTGTAATCCCAATTCAGGAGGCTGAGGCAGAAGGATGGATAGTTCAAGATCAGATTGGGCAAATTAGTGAGACCCTGTCTCAAAGTAAAATTTTATGAGAGGTTGGAAATGGGAGCTAAACACTCTCTGGAGTTCATACTCCATATCTTAAAAAAAGAAAGAATGAAGCTGAAAGAACAAAATCTGTAATTTATGAATTACCTTACAGTTCTGATATTTTCAAAAACAAAATAGTTTTAAATGGGAAATTTACTTTCAGTGAAAAATAAATTATTTTAAAAATAATTATTTTTCTTTGCAAAACTAGTCCCTATGGAATTATTAAATCAGTGTGATCACCTTCCTCAGGCTCCTCCATCCCTATCACCCATCCCCTGTCTAGTAAATTCAAAGTCTGATTTGTTTTAAAATACATTTAATAAATCACTTTTATGAATAGTACCTGTTGTTCAAGCTGCAGCCCCCTAGAATGGCAGAAAAACAGCATGCATGTACATTTTAGGTTTGACTTGATGTCTCAAATTACCAAAATATGAATTCATTTTAGTGTATGATTATTTCAGTTCTTAGTGATTCTCTCAAGAGTGGGAGTATATTAGAGGAGAGAAACAGAGCAGAGAGAAAAACAGTGAGACACTACCCACATTTCAATGCCTAACTCAAATACTGTGACCTTGAACTTTGTCTTATTTACCGTTTCCACCTTCTTTCTTTGTAACTGTTAGGATGTTGGTGTCTCTTCCAAGGCACACATCATAATTTATTCTACAAATATGATTATTTCTATTTATTTTTCAAAGTGTCCTCTTCTAGAGTGGAAATTGCTTCAGGAAAACCCAGTTTGTTCATCTTTGTGATATAGATAGATAGATAGATAGATAGATAGATAGATAGATGTAATATACATCACATATATATATGAGATATGTGATATATGGTATATATGAAATATGTGATATATATCATATATGATATATATATATATATGGCAGTTAAGAGCTTGCTTTGTTAAATGTATAAATGTATCTGTCCATGTTTTTACAGTATGTCCCTATTTCTGAATTTGTGTCCTTTGCCACAGGCCAATCACTTTGCTGTTCACCATGATGAGGAGAAAGATGTGATCACAGGCCTGAAACAAAAGACTTTGTATGGACGGCCCAATTGGGATAATGAGTTCAAGACAATTGCGAGTCAACACCCTAAGTAAGCTGCAACCTTCCTCCCCAGCTAAGGCATTTTTTTAAAGGCTGTGTTCTGCCTGAAGCCTCAGCTGCCATGCATGTCTAGACTTGTAAATTCCAGAAATGAAGATACCTGTATTGCTATAATGGGATTGGATTCATGTCCAACAGAAGATTTCAGATAGCCCTGACTCTGAAGTGAAAATCTTTAAATCACAACAAAATTATCTGAAGAATTGTTAAAAGCAAAATTTCCCAGGTTCCCTCCTCAGACTTTCCCAATCCCTTGTCCTAGGCTAAACAACAGCTTGGTTCTTTTCTTTAGTTACCTAAATTTTACTAGTGTACCTATTTCTTTTAAATATTCAATTTGACTTGTATTTATTATTAAGGAGACACTGCCCACATTTTCAGTTTTAGGTTGAGTCTAAAACCATAAGTTCACAGATGTTTGCAATTTCCTAAATCCTTTCTGCTGTCTAAAGTTTTAGCTATCAGGAAGCCTTGAGGGATCCTACATCCTGCTAGAACTCATGAGAAACTCAGGAACTCAGCCAAGTATGAGCAGCAGATTATTGTTTCTTAAACTTCAGTGAGCACCCACATCACCTGGATATACTTTTAAAATGCAAATTCTGATTTTGTAGGTCTGGGGTGGAGGCCAATAGTCTGTATTTTTAAAAGCTAATACTTAAGACTAGCAGTCTAGAATTGTACCTTGAAGAGCAAGACTTTAAACTCTAAGATTATGTCCTGCAGAGTAATTTGAACTCTTTTGTCTTTACCATTTGTGGAAAAGACAAAAGAACAGAAGGGATTCAGTCATGGGGCCTCAAATTAATAGGAATTTTTCCCTCCTGCTTTGTAGTCTGTCTCATCCCAAAGCCTGAAAGTCTTTTTCTTTTTCTTTCACACAAGTACCAGAATAGGAGTTTTCCTCTGTGGACCTGAAGCCTTGGCTGAAACCCTCAATAAGCAGAGCATTTCCAACTCCGACTCTGGCCCTCGGGGAGTGCATTTCATTTTCAACAAGGAAAACTTCTAGCTCATTTCTCTCACGAGGAAAAATTGGATTTTGCTACCAAGTGACCAAATATGGATGATTGATAATGTAAATTCCCTCCTTCAAAAAAAAGAAAGAAAAAAAGAGGAAAAGAAACTGTAATGTAATGTTTCCCTTGGAAGATTGCAAATGATGTGTTATGTTCATATGCGGTTTTATGTTTTGCAGGACACTTCTGCAAACATTATTTCATTTTTCATCTCTGTAGTGCCAGTGAAAGGTAGGGCAAGGACTTCTGGACTCATTTTTTCGGACAGATCAATGGTGGCTCTAAAAGCTTTTTGGCTCAAAAAGTGGCTTTCTTAGGACTTTGAAGCTGAGACCAGATCTTGACCAACTGACCCCAGGTGGTTTAGTTTTTCTTCCCACATCTCTGTTTTGAAAATCAGCTTTTATATTCCCCCCAAAGAAGATATAAACCAAAGAGTAGCTGCTCATTTTCCATTTTGTGTCAGCTTGGTTATTATTATTACATTGAGGGACAGGAACTAATATTGGCTGAGAGTGATTTAACACCTACTAGTGTCATCAATGACACCTCAGCACATCCCATCCTACCAACACTGCAGCGTAACGGGATTAAAGATTCTTCCTACCAGTGAATATTACACTGATTGGAGTTTATTCAGTATTCAGCATTTACGGTGGCACTTGGCACTCAGGGACAATTTGTTGAATGAATGAATGAAAAAATTCAGAACCAAACAATGTCAGAGCAGAGCTATTTTAAAACATTATACAGAATTATCTGAGGAAATGACTTCTGTTACTCTTACCAAAGAATCCTTACTCTCCTGAGGGTAGAGAACCAACCTATATGATAGCTAGCAAAGGTCCTCATGTATTTGAAGCATGTGGGAATGAGGGATGAAGGCAGGAAACTAGTCTCCTGTCATAAATTTGGATGACTCTGCTCCTGCTCCCTATTTTATGAAAGAAAGCACACTAGTTTATTGCCAGAAATAATCTCCTCCAGTCAGGCCTTGCAAATTTAGAACTTTGGAATTATGAAAAAATACTTATCTGATAATGCACATCTGGATTTTATAGAGCCCACTCCCTTTTTCCCCATAAATACAGAAGTGGATCTTAGATATGTGACTAATGTCTTATTTTTATTATTATTTCATCATCACCACCACAGCCACCACCATCATCTTCCTGAAATATACATCCTAGAAACTAAATCCCCAGTTAACTATGTTGATATTGAATTCACAGCCAATAGAATGTTCTGGATAGGGCCGGGGATTTAGTTCAGTGGTGCCACAGCCTTCCTCGCAAGCACAAGGACCAGAGTTCAAATCTCAGTACCCAAAAAAGAAAAAGTTTTTGATACCCATGGGTTCAAGACAGAGTCTATGAATCACTGTTAATGTGGCCAAAAACAGTTCTTTCTTTCTTTTTTTAATAACTACTCGCATTTCTGGGAAATGAAAACCAGCTTTATCTGCCCCACCCACTGTGGCTTACAGACACTATTCAGCTTTGGTAATGAGGAAAAGCAGAAATGCAAAAGACTTACCAGAAGAAAAGGGAAGGAAGGAGAGTGAGAGAAAGCAAAACTACAGAAGGGGAAAGTAGGGGAAAGGAGTCTCACATAGGGTATCATTTACCCCAGATTCCTTAGTTTATATGTGTTGTATGTAATTAAAGAATACACAGAGTTATCTTTTTTCTTTTCTTTCTTTTCTTTTTTTTTTTTTTTTGGTACTGGGGATTGAACTGAGGTCCTTGTGCTTGTGAGGCAGGTGGGGCAGAAACACTGAGCTAAATCCTTGGCCCCGATTTCTTTTTTCTGTTTTGGTACCAGGGATCAAACTGGGGACATTGCACTTTCGAGGCAGGCAGTGGAACCACTGAGCTAAATCCTCAGCCCATTATTTTATTTTGATTAAATATAGTATCGAATATTGTACATTCTGGTCACAAATTTTGAGACTGAGTGAGCATATTAGGGGGCTGGGTTAAACAGAGAACTCAATTGTTTCTTGCAGTATCACTGTTCCTTTGATACCCCAAGATCTTCAGAGCATGGAGGATCAGTTCTCACAAATAAAGCCCTCCAGGGTGTGTAAGTGCCACCTCTCGGAAATGTGCATGAAAGTTTCCACCTGGAGAAAATGAGGTCTAACCTGTTCTGTTGCACCCCCGGTATTAGTTCATTCATTCAACAAATATTTATTATTCTATTATGATGACTCAGGAGCAGTGTGTCTAGTTTCAAATTCTTTATACCAAAGTACGAACAGGAGGGCAAATCTCAGTTATATGGAGTCCAAGAATATTGCCCCTTTCTAACCTAGGTGAAACAAGCAAAACAACTCTTGCTCAGAAAATGTTGCTCAAACACTTTATACCTTTGACACCAAAACAGTTACCAACGTAGAGAGGTCTGTCCTATATTATTCTGGTCATGAGATGAAAAACCAGTGAAAAAGTGCTTGTTATTATGAAAGCTTCCTTCTTTGATCTCCCAAGCATCTAGCCACCAGCTATCAGTTGTTGCCAGCACAGCTTTTTTTAAAGTTTGGTATTTAGCATTTAGGAAACAAGTATTTTAAAAAAGACTAATGAAGCATTTTTTTTAAATCTCAAAGCTACTAAAGCTTTTCTTAGTTTTCCTGCTTTTGCAATATTGTGTTTATAAAATTTAAATATTTTCAGGCTTTGAATGTCCATAGTTTATAGGGGGGCAGATATGGGAGGAAATTCCTAGGAAGAACTTGTAAAATTGTGATTAAACATTAAAAGTAATGGGCACTCACCACGTCTGTGTTATTGCTGTTTGTATGAATGGGTGAATTCAGCTGGCAGAGATTTTTCTCTGCCCTGGTAGGTTGAAATTCCCTGTACTTCTGTAGATGACATGCCAAACACTGCACAGTTTATCAACTGGGAAGAGAAAACTGGGAACTGAATTCTCTACCAGTGTCTTAATGATCCTCACAGCACTGCTACAAGGGAGTCTCACCTCACATCATGGGTAAAATTTTGAAGGTGTGGAAGACCCAGTCTAACCCCTTTTTCCATTTTCACTAGTCTTTCCTTTTCTAACTTCATAATTAAATGCCATCAGGTCAGATAATGAGCATAGGCACTCATAGTTCTATGCTGGGTGTTGTTCTACAAGAGTCAGCCAGAATTTCCTATCTCATTAGCTAGGAAATGTATAAGGCTGTGTACATGTTCTTACACAAGTCAGCAGATGCTGCCAAGGAGGGAAAGGATATTAGCAAAGGCAAATTGCAATAATAGAAATAGCAATAGTGGACACCTGACCACTGTGCTAAACATTTTACATACACTTCATGAAGTTAACCCACCAACAGTACTGCAAACGTAGCCACTTTATTGCAATTTTGTTAGTAAAAAATGAGTCTGAGAGAAGATAAATAATAAGCAGACAACTAGTGGGTGATTATGTCAAAATTGAATCCACATTTGTCTAGCAACAGCATCCACGTTCTTTACACTAATATGTTAGGCAAGGTATAGTAACCAAGAATATTCTCATTTTTGTGCTAGGTACAAATTAGCCACTAAGTAGTTAGGTAACAGAGGTGGCATAAACCAAATATCTTGATAGCTTACAAAAACTAAATATCCTGAGTAGTGCTAATTTTGACTTTTTAGAAAAAACCTGCCAAGTCATGAGATTGCTTTATTTGGAGAAAAGAAAGCTCCAGTGACTCAATTGATATTTCATATTTATATATGTATATATACAAATACATATAATTTATTTATCAACCATTTTTGTTGTTCAGAAATGGCTGGTTACTGTTTGCATTTGTGTGTGTGTGTGCAAGTGTTATAAAACTGCATAAAGAAGAAACCAAATTATAAGAGGAAAGAATTTCTGAGCTATAAATATTGTTGAGAAAAATTCAAATATTGACAGAGGCTAGGAAATATGATCACCAGAGATTTCTAAAATGTGAAAAGAAGCTGGCCTAAGATTCTTTCAGAATAGTGGTCTTTTTTATTTTATGGTGGTTGTTGGGGAATGACACAGTCTAAGCAATTGCATATTCCAGTTAACAATTAAAACCAATAGATTGGCAATTTTGAAGTAATTATGATACTTCATAAGAAGAAACTAACTGCCCAAATACACTGCTTTGTGGATAAAAGAAAGGTCTTTGAAAGATAGTCCAGTATATGAGCAGAAATCACTGTGAGATCACATAATATGGATACTGTGCTTGACTGTCTTTAGAAAAAAAGCCCAAAATGGTATATTCTGAAACTCTATCCTTCAGAGTGGACCCCTGCAAAGACAGAAACCCTGATTTATATAAAAAATCAAATTCAAAATGTCTTCATGTATGTTTACACTAGAATCTTAAGTAATCACAACTTTACCATTGTGTTCGATCACTTGATTACTAAATGTTGCCTCTTCTTTGAGTTATGCAATTGCCAATTAAGGAACAATAAAAATCATCCCACCCACGCTCACAGAAAAAGCTAAACATTACTCTTTTGAGTCATACGGAGACAAGTCAGGGCATAGGAAATGAATCACTTTTGTTCTTCCAAAGAGATTTTAGAGAAAATCTCAGATAATCTTGAGTTATTTGATAAGAAACAAAATACCACTGTCTAATCATATCCCAGGAGGGAGTAAATGTGTTTGTATTCACTAAAATCCACCAGAGCGGTTGACTGGCATGGTAGTTAATCCAGACCTTGTTAATGAAGGTCAGCAGAGCTGTCTGATCATTGTTTTTTAGTAGGATGATCTGCATCGTTCATCCACAGGCTAACACATCATACTTAGACATCTGCACTCTCAACTACCAGCTGTATTCATTATCGGGTGTGCTATTCTGCGGGGACCAATGTGCCTGGCTCTGGGAGATCAAAGGTAACAAGTTTAACTATGTCCAACTTACAAAGGAAGTTAGCTGTAGGAAGGCCTGTAAGTATATGTTTTTATGTTTTTCTTTATAAAAAATAATCAAAACTTTAAAATCCATTTTGTATAAATAAATATAAATTTTGACATCTCTAAGATATGCAGAGCAAAGTGTGAGGAGATCGTAAAGGAGGAAAAGTGAAGCACATGGATGATATCAGCATTAATTAGAGAACAAAGAAACAAAACTAGGCAGCATTTTTTTTTTTTTTTGGTACCAGGGGTTGAACTCAGGACCTTGCGCTTGTAAGGCAGGCAGGAGAACCACTGAGCTAAATCCCCAGCCCTGAACTACCTCTTTGGATTCTCTCTAATTTGACTTTGTATTTCCTTCTATAAAGAGGAGGAATCTATTCAAACATCACTCCAAGACTATTCAGTTGGAGTGGTATGGTAGGACATTAGACCCACAGAGAAAGAACGTGAATCCTGGTGAGCAACTCAGATAGATCTGAAAAAATATGTAGTGGTAATATAACTATTGACCAGTTTTCTAATTTTAGAATTAATTAGTAGAAGCTGGGCATGGTGGCACACACCTGTAATGCCAGCATTCTGGGAAGCTGAGGCAGGAGGATAATAAATTTGAGCTCAGCCTGGACAATTTAGTAAGACCGTGTCTCAAAATAAATATTACAGAGCAGTCTTGCTATGTGTTCCTACATAGTGGGTGGCATCATATGGCAGGAGTGAATACAAAAGGAAAAGGGAGAGACAATGAGTCACCAGGTGTGCCAACCTGTTCTATGCATCAACAGCCATGTATTTTGCTCTATTTGTGTTGATTTGTGGTTGAAGAATAATAGCCAGGGTCCAGCTTGTAGAGTCCCCATCACTCCTGAAAATTCTTGCAAAGCGATTATCAGAGGAACAAGTGAAAGTGAACCTATGCTGAGCCAGACAGGAAGCACCTTTGGAAAACTAGACTTGAGTTACTTCATAAAGAATATGAGGAAGAAATAGATTGTTTGCAGAAAGGTAGAAGAGCTTAAACGTAAAAACCTCAGCTTGGAGTCACAGATCAAGTCTATTCTGGATCCTTTAACCTTGATGCAAGGCAACCAAAATGAAGGCAAATATCCAGTTGCAGATAA